GAATGTCACCAGATTCAAAGTTTTTTAACCTCCATATTGTTTAGAACAAAATCCAACATTGAATTATCCATTGGATGTTCCTTAATTAAGAGTCCACTATTATTTGAATATACTTCCACTCCCTGGCAGACCGCCCTGTGCAAATTTGTTAATAAAAGTAGAGGAGAATTAAAATGCCCATGCTCATGACTGAAGACTTATCTTGTAGAAAACTGCAGTCGTTGATGTTCAGGTGGGCTCTGACATATTAATTCCCAAAACTTTCCCCTCAGCTAGTTTTCAACTTGATCCCTCTTTCCACGAGCTCAGAATTTCTCTCCTCATACACACCCTTCCAATGAATGGTCAAAGTGCTCCTGATTAGACAATCAAGGATCATAGAAATGGACAGCACAGAAAGCAGACATCTGGTTCACCGATTCTCAAATAGCACTTTCAAAAATCAATTGTTTGTCTTGGGCCTTGCTGAGACCACACCAAGAACAGTGTGCGCAGTTTTGGTCTCCTGTCTGGAGGAAGGATACTCTTGCTCTCACTCTCACGGGGTGCAAAGGTTTACCAGCTGATTCCAGGGATGGCAGGACTAACATATGACAAGAAATTGACGAGGTTAGGATTGTTTTTGCTGGAGTTCAGACCAATAACGGGGGAATCTCAGACTTATAAAATTCTACCAGGACAGGACAGGGTAGATGTAGGATGTTTACTGATGGTGGGTGTCCAGAACCAGGGGTCACAGTCTGAGGATTCAGTGTAGACCATTTAAGACAGAAATGAGGAGACATTTCTTCACCCAAAGAGTGGTAAGCCTGTGGAATTCATTACCACAGGAAGCAGTTGACATCAAACTATTGGATGTATTCAAGAGGCGGCGAGATACAGCACTTGGGGCAAATGGGATCAAAGGTAACGGGGAGAAAGCAGGATTAGGCTGAGTCGGGCAATCAGCCATGATCATGACAAATAGCAGAGCTGGCTCAAACAGCCAAATAACCTCTGCCTGCTCCTATCTTATATTTTCATATTTCCCTGCTGTTAACCTGTAATGCTGTACTTCTTATCCCCCTTTCAAGTATTTATTCAATTTCCTTTTTGAAGGCTGCCAGTCAAATCGGTATCCATGACATCAGACAATGCATCCAAATCCTAAACTCTTGTTGTGTAAATTTTCTCAATTTATGTCACACCTGTACCCTTTAGAAATCTTAAATCTGTGGCCTCTGATTATCAACACTTCAATCTTTGTTATTTTTTGAATGGCTATACTGTAAACTCATGATCTTTAACAGCTGTCACATCTTCTTAAATTTCTCTGCTCAGAAGAGAAGACCAGTTCTGATTTATTCATTTAAAATTCCTCATCCATGCAACCATTCTATCAAACTGTCTTCTTCACTTTCTGCAAAGTCTTTCATTCTCCCTAAAGTTTAATACCCAGAATTACGTACAACATACCAGCCTGGAGCAAACTAGTCTACTACACAGGTATACCACCATCACTGACGTTAGTATTTTTAACTCCAGACTTTTTTGTTGCAATCTTGCTGAATTCAATTCCCTCAGCTAGCACTGTGGATTTTGCACTCATAAATCTCGGTCATCAGCGCAGTCCTCTGGATATTTACCCAATAGTATAACCATTGCAACATGACCCATCTCTAAAAATGGCAGACTAACAACATGAGAGGATTGAGTGAGGTGGAGCAGAAATACAGCCAAGTTGTTTAATAATATCTGATGTAGCATCTTCCGATGATATCTTTTACATACATTACAGGATACATTTTTTCTTAAATATGATATCAACAGACTGGTTTTTAACTCATTTACATGCAAATGAATAATGAGACTGGAAGACTTGCATTCTTACATTGAAGTTAGAGGTCAACATTTCAGGTTAATAGCTAATTGTAACTTTTTCACTCAAATGTGAACTAAACAAAAGTAGCACCCAAAAAATGTATTACAAGAACAACCGGACAGTTGATACGAGTTGTGTAATCTGATTTAAAACAGGTCAAGACCAAAGAAAATCATTTCCCATTTTAGCGGTCACATTTTCTCCATAGGATTGGAACAAAGTCACCAGCATTTGTTGCTCACACCTAATTTGCCTCGAGAAGATGGTAGCACGCTGTCTCCTTTAACTGCTGTACCATCTTGTGTTGATACGAAGAGTGCCAGGATTTTGACCCATCGACAGTGAAGGAACAGCAATATTGTTCCAAGTCAGGATGACGTGGGGCTTGGAAGGGAAATTGCAGGAGATGGGTTCACGCGTATATGCTGCGTTCATCCCAGAGACCATGGGTTTGGAAGGTGCTGTCAAAGCAGACTTGGTGAGTTGCTGCAATAAACGTCATCCATAAATCTTGTTTGTACACCATATTGGTGGTGGAGGGAGTGAATCAATGCTAAAGGTGATAGTTGGGGTGCCAATCAAGCAGGCTGCTTTGCCTTAGTTGATGTTAAGCTTCAACTGTTGTTGGGAGCTGTACCCATTAGGACGAGTATTCCATCAGACTCCTGATATGCCTTGCAAATGGTGGACAAACCTTAATGAGTGAGGTGATGAGTTACAAGCAGAATTCCTGTTCTGTAGCCATGATATTTATTTGACTGGTCCTGTTCAGTTTTGGGTCAATTGTAACTCCCACAGTAGGCTGGGAGATTCAATGATGATAATTCCAAGTGCCACAGATTATCTTCAACAATGAATCTGTCATTGCATCATATGGCACAAATAACTTGCCAGTTAACAGCCCAGGCCTCAATCAGGCTAAGTCTTATTGCACATGGTCAAGGACAGCCATCATTACCTGCATTCCAGTGAGACAACTCCACAAGACAAAAATCCTGTATTGGTAAATATGAACTTAAACTTCCATCCAACAGCCAATTGTTAAACCTAACCACAAGAACCACTGGTGATTCTCACCATCCCATTTTACTATGATCCCAAAAACCTGACAGAAGATAAACACCACAAATACTACAAGAAAAAAAAAACAAACAGGCTGTAAATACTCCTGTGAGGCCAGCATGTGTAGGGAGAAACAGTTAGCATTTCAGGTCAACAAGTTTGACAAATGCTCATCTACCAGATCTCTAGTGCAGTTAATATCTTTCAAGCTGCTAGCAGATGTGCCAAATGTTTCCTGTATTTTTTAAATGTCTATTCACCATTTAAAAAAGATTGGTTTACAAACAAACATTCACTTTTTCAAAAAGAACCTTGCTAGATATTGGAAGTCACAACATCAGAACAAGCAATTCAGTAACCTGCACTTTGATTTTTTTTAAAAAGAGTATTAACAGACTGACTAAAGTCCTATGCTTTTCATTTCAGAAAATCCAAGACCATGGAATAACCATGATTGGGTTTAAAAGGGAACATAGCTGTGCACTTGGCAGTAGATCATCTAATTTATCCCTCCTTCCAAGTGAACTAGTTACATATAAACCACAATTTGTAATATTCTTCTAATTTAGAAGTCAGTGAAACGAACATCCTGTGGTGGAATCACTTAGGGAATTCCCCTGTTCCCATCCATTAGCATCAGTTTGCTCTCAAAAATACAATAGTAGGAAACATACATTCTTTCAGAGTAAAATTTTTTTTTGATGCCAACAGCTAGAGTAATTAAAAATGGTTATGCCTTAAATGGTGACTCATTTCTTCCCCCAAAGTCTTCCAGGGTAGAGAAAGCAAATGAAAATTATACACATCTCCAAGTATATACCCAACATTCCCACAGTGTAGAACTTAGCCAGTGCAGCCCCATTCCTCTTCCCCACCAGCAACAAAGCTTGTGTCTGGGGAGAAACAACTTTACAACTCAAGGAACTGCAGTCTGTGTTTTATTAGCTGACCTCACCCAGGGGCAGCTATCACATTTAGTCCCAGTGCCCAAACCATCTGACGTGGGGGAGGGGAAGTGAATACAGAGAAGGAGAAAGTTGGCTGAAGTGTTGACCAAGGTCGAAAAAGGGAGAATTGGATCATTTTTGGCTGTGGTACCCTTCATAGATCAGCCTGCTTGACACTCAGCTCTCACAAACAATAGCTTGGGCAACCACAGTCAAAGTGGTGATGCCCTCATGAGGCGAAAATTAACTGGAAGGAAATATAGTGAATTGGAAACAACTCAGCATATTCAATTTTAAAGTCTGCATCACCTCATCCAAAAGGTTTCACACAATCTTCAATCAAAAAAATTACAAACTTCAACCAGCACATTCCTTCGAAAGATGATCAAAAACTTGTTAAACAGCAATCCCACACCCACTCTCTCATTCAAGTGTTAGGAGCAGGTGGAGGTGTACCTTTGCAAATGGGAGAGTTGGGGCTCTTCCGTTCTGGGGAGCCCTTACGTTCTGGAGATTTCCTGTGTCTGACCCGTGAAGAATCTGCCCCCGAGGCCCAAAGACGAGTGGGCGAGGAGCAAGGAGATGATGAGGTGGTGGTGGTGGTGGTGGTGGCGGCGGCGGCCGCCTGGTGCAGTTGCTGTTGCGTCCTGGTGGGGCTGCTCCGCGAGGTGGCCGTGGCCGCCTGCTGTTGCGTCCTGGTGGGGCTGCTCCGCGAGGTGACTGTGGCCGCCTGCTGCGTCCTGGTGGGGCTGCTCCGCGAGGGGGCCGTCTGCTGCTGCCTCCCCACTCCACCAGCACAACACCTCGTCGGGCTGCCCTGTTTCAACTGAAACGGCACGGTGGCCCTCATGGGCTGAGGCCGGCCAACACCGCTACCACTACCGCTAGTATTATTACTACTATTGTTAGCACCACCATTACTACTCCCTCCTCCCCCACTACTACCACTATTACTACTACCGCTCATTGAGCTGGTTGGTGAGCCGTTCCGACGGACTCGCTGAGCCATCTTCCTCGAGGAAGAACAAAAATCCACACGCGCGCCCAGCAGCTTTGTTTATTGGTTGTGAACGCCAACGCGGGTGGAGGTTGGTGAAGCGAAAACGTCTTCGTTCAATGCGTTTTCCTTCTTTCTTTCTTTCTTCCTTCCCTGCACCTTCACCTTCCCTCTCTCACCCGTTCCCCTACCCTCCCCTCAGCCACGACCTGTCTGGCCGTTCGCGCCCGCGCGCTCACACACTCTCGGGGCCGTGCAGACACCGCCCCCCGCGCGCCTTCACCCCACCCCTCTTTCTACGCGTGCTCGCCCCACCCTACCCTTCCTGCTTGTGCTGGTCCCACCCGCACAAACCGCGCGCGGTCTCCAAGCCCCCTTCCGCGCGTGCTCGCCTCGCCCCCTTCCGCGAGCAATCGCACCACGCCCCCCTCCCCGTCGAACGTGAGCTTCGGCCCGCCCCTCCTGCGCGAACTGCACGCGCAGCTAGCCGCGCCCACTCGCCCGCCGCGGGATTCCTGGCCCCTGTAACCTTCTGTCGCTGCTTTGCCGTCGAGGCCCGGTCCTGTTTTTAGGCCGAGGAGGGGCGGAGTGAAAGAACCAAGCGCCAGCTTTTCCTCGGTTCAAGTGCACACTCTAGCGGCGAACCGAGGAAAACATATCGAATACTTTTGTATTTTGATTTGGACCAGGATGACGGTTTGGGGATGGGTAATCTGTCGCCACTTCAAGAGAACTGAGGTACTCCATCAGTCGCCACCCAATATTGACTCTACCAACCACCTCCACCGACTATAGCTGTCAAGTACACAACCCTGAAACGATGTACATCACCTGCCTAAGAAGCACAAACTCCTGACATGTCTGTAGTCACACTTGCAGAACAAACTCAAATATTTGTGCTCAGACAAGAAGTTGTGGAATAAGTAAGGCGTTACACTTAGAACTTAATGCGTATAAAACTACCCTCCTATATACCTGTGAAACATGGAATAAGACTTGATTAAGCAGTTGGACAGGGCACATATGAAATTCCTTCAAAACATCTTAAGCACTGAATGGAAGGACAAGATGGCCAAAAATTGGAGTTCTTTAAAAGAGCAGAAATCTTTGGAATCAAAGCACTCATACCATTCTGATTCAGATAGAGGGGCAAGACTATCTGTAGGTTCAACTCTATCCATAGGAATGACCTAAACCGTCTAGTTGCTTTCCATTTCATTAAACTCACTGCTAACATTTTGCCCTTGGCCAGCTACACAAGCTGGAGGAACAAGATCTCATTTTCCACTTAAGCATACAGTCTGTAGGACTTAATATTGATTTGCACAACTTCGGAGTATGACTTCTATCAAATTTTCTTACATCACCACTTCCCCCACCACCCTGCTCCCAGCTGTGCATTATTTGCTGTCAGATACTAGAAAGATGTGAAAAAAGCAGGGTAGTTGTGGTGGTTGACTTCAACTTACCTATTATTGACTGGGACTCCCTTACAGCCAGGAGCTTGGACGGAGGGGAATTTGTTAGATGTGTTCGGAAGGCGCGCTTTTTGAGACAGGCACTCTAACCAGAGAGGAGGCTGTACTCGACTTGGTATTAGGGAATGAGCCAGGACAGGTGATTGATGTTTTAGTAGGAGTGACATTTTGGGCAGAGTGACCATAACTCCATAAGATTTCCAGTAGTCATGGACAAAGACAAGAGTGGGCCTCAGATGAGGGTGCTTAATTGGGCAAGGGCCAATTACATCCAAATTAGACAGGAACTGGGGAATGTGGATTGGGAGCAGTTATTTGATGGCAAATCTACGTCCGGCATGTGGGAGGCTTTTAAAGACCAGTTGATTAAAGTTCAGGACATGCATGTCCCTGCAAAGCTTAAGGATATTACTGGCAGGATTCAGGAACCATGCATGACAAGCAAAATTGTAAGCTTAGTCAAAAGGAAAAAGGAAGCATACGATAGGTCTAGGCAGCTACAAACTGACGAAGGCCTTGAGGAGTATAGAAGAATTAGGAAGGAACTTAAAGGAATTAGGAAGGCTAAAAGGGGCCATGAAATGTTTTTAGCAACAGGGTCAAGGAGAATCCCAAGGCTTTTCATGCATATATTAGAAGAAAGAATAAAGGCTAGCAAGGGAAAGTGTAGGCCCACTCAAGGATGAGGGAGGGAAGTTATGCGTGGAACCAAAAGAAATGGGAGAGATCCTTAATGAGTACTTTGTATCGGTATTCACCAAGGAGAAGGACATGACTGATGTTGAGGTCAGGATGAGTGTGTGAATACTCTGGAGAATGTCAATATATTGAAGGAGGAAAATTTGGATATCCTAAATTGCATTAAAGTAGACAAGTCCCCAGGGTCAGATGGGATCTATCCCAGGTTAGTGCAAGAGGCAAGAGAAATAGCTGGGGCATTAGCAGATATCTTCACATCCTCTTTGACTACAGGCTTGTTCCTGAGAAATGGAGGTTAGCCAATGTTGCTCCTTTGTTTAAGAAAGGAAGCAAAGATAATCCAGGAAATTATAGACTGGTGAGCCTGACGTCTGTGGTGGGGAAGTTCTTGGAGAAGATACTAAGGGAGAAGATATATGCACATTTGGAAGAAAATGAACTAGTTAGTGACAGGCAGCATGGTTTTTTGTGGGGAAGACCATGTCTCTCAAACCTGATTGAAATTTTTGAAGAGGTGACAACGATAATTGATGATGGAAGGGCTGTGGATGTAGTTTATGTGGACTTTAGTAAGGCATTTGATAAAGTCCCACATGGCAGATTGGTACAAAAACTAAAATTACATGGGATTCAGGGTGGACTGGCTAGATGGATACAAAACTAGCTTGGTCATAGAAGACAGAAGGTGGCAGTGGAAGGGTATTTTTCAGAATGGAGACTGGTAACTAGGGGTGTTCCACAGGGATCAGTCTTAGGTGTTCAGTTGTTTGTAGTATATATAAATGATCTGGAGGAAAATGTGGGTGGTCTGATTAGTAAGTTTGCAGATGACACCAGGATTGGTGGAGTTGCTGATAGTGCCGACGATAGTGAAAGGATACAACAGGATATGGATAGATTGGTGACTTGGGCACAGAAATGGCAGATGGAGTTTAATCCAGACAAATGTGAGGTGATGCGTTTTGGAGGATCAAATTTAGGTGTTAAATATACTGTAAATGGCAGAACCCTTAGGGATGTTAACATACAGGTGGATCTGGGCATGCTGGTCCACAGTTCCCTAAAAGTGGCAACACAAATGGCCAAGGTGATTAAGAAGGCATATGGCATGCTTGCCTTCATCACCTGGGGCATGGAGTACAAGAGTAGGCAAACCATGTTGCAGTTATATAAAACACTTGTTAGGCCGCATTTGCAGTAATGTGTACAGTTCTGGTTGCTACACTACAAGAAGGATGTGGAAGATTTGGAGGGGGTAGAGAAGGTTCACCAGGATTTTGCCCTGTCTCGAGGGCATTGGCTATAGGAAAGGTTAAAAAAACTAGGATTGTTTTCACTAGAAAGATGGCAGCTGAGAGGAGACTTGATTGTGGTCTACAAACTTATGAGAGCCATTGATAGGATGGATAGACAGATGCTTTTTCCCAGGATTGAAGTTTCAGTTACAAGGGGGCACAGGTTCAAGGTGAGAAGGGGAAATTTAAGGGAGGTATGCGATGGAAGTTTTTCACACAGAGTGATAGGAGCCTGGAACCCACTGCCAGAAGAGGTGGTGGAAGCAGGCAGGTTGGCAACATTTAAGAGGCATCTAGATGGTTACATGAATAGGGACGAAATAGAGGGATACGGACCGAATAAGGGCAGAAGGTTTTTTTTTAAGATAACAAGGTGTAGAGCTGGATGAACACAGCAGGCCAAGCAGCATCAGAGGAGCAGGAAGGCTGACGTTTCGG